TTAGCAAAAATCGAAAAATACCTAATAACAACAAAACCGATAACCCATACATATTTAAATTTTAAAAAAGTATAGGTATATCAAAAAATATATTATGTGTCAATTTTGAAGAAATTGATCAACAGATGTTTCCATTAAGATATCCACTTTAAATAATTCGAAATCTAGGTATACAAATCAAAGCATATAATCTATAAGTTCCCTTCTTAATATCCTAAAGAGATGAGTTAACTCATTGACTTATTTCAACTTCGTTTGTTTGATCGAAACGTGTTTGCAGTTCCTGTTCACAAAGCAAAAAAACACTAAGATTAATTCTGGGAGGTATACTAATTGATTTTTGAAGAACAAGATATAACAAACGCCTACAACGATTTAATATTAATGTAGGAAGAAGCAAGAGTTTAAACCACTTAGACTGTAAAAATAAACAAAGCTGATTATGTTAATCATACCATTATTATGTTGATATGAAATATGAATTCAAACATTAAAGTTGGGTACATTGAAAAATAGATGATAATATGATAATAATGTGAAAATATTATCAAAGCTATCATAATTATACAATAATGAATTTTTTTATTTAAATATTTTGATATACAAGAATTAAATAAAAGTGCAGATCAAGTGCAACAGAAAAAAAACTCATTAACATCGCCGGTTTACAGTTTTTCACTTCGTTGGTAGAATTTAAGGGTTTATTCATATCCTATTACAGGTCAATGAATACGGAAACCCTCTCGCAACCTACCCTTATAACATCTAATGAAAATTTCACAAAAGATATTTAATCTTTGCAGTTCAGCGAAATTAAATGAACACACTGAAACGGCGCTATCAGATTATGTTGCAAATCAAATAAGCACTGGGATTAAATTAAATTTCGAGAAGAAATTACAATACAACTTCTTCATTGAAAAATAATTTTAAAAAACAAAAAAAAACTGAAGGTAATATTTTATGATAAGAGTTTTGTACATTTTCTGTATAATACTAATAGTAGCACATTGAATGTAGTAAGCTTATTTTTACGTCAAGACGGTGGAGACGCCGCGTAATCAACAT